CTTCATCTTGGCTGAGGTGGACTGTGTTGTCACCTCACTGTGTCACACTGATTTTGTGGCACCGGTGAGGGAGACAAATGAGACTGATGCCACTTGAGCAACTAAAGAGAGGGATTTTGAATCCCAAAAGATGTCCTGTGACCTTGAGCATAGAAAGTGGGTCACTACCAACAAGAAATATTTGGTTGTGATAAAGAACACGATTGAACCTACAATTGTGGGCTCAATCCCAGAGTGTGACACGGTCACCGAGTACCTCGATAGAATAAAGAGTCAGTTCACTGGCTCTTCAAAGACATATGCTACCCAGCTAATAAAGCAGCTAGTGACAGAGAGTCACTCTAGAAATGGTGACATAAGAGAGCTCACGATGCGTTGTCGAAATTATGGCACTGTCGTTTAGGCCATATTTTGAGGGGGAGAATAGAAAGACTAGTTAAAAAATAATATTCTTCCTCAATTAGAGCTATCAGATTTAGAACAATGCAGAGATTGCATAAAAAGAAAAGTATGTAAAGAAAATTAAGAAAGATGTCAAATGAAGCACATGAATTTTACAGATTAATCACACAGATATATGTGGTCTATTTCCTGTAAAAAGTGTGGATGGTTATGATTCAATCATAACATTCACAGATGATTACTCCCATTATGGTTGTATTTATCCAATTAAAGAAAGAACAGAAGCATTGGATAAATTTAAGATATTTAAGGCAGAAGTTGAAATCCAACTTAATTTAAAGATTAAGATAGTCGGGTCTGACCGTGGGGGGAGTACTACGGTCGGCATACCCCATATGATCAAGTTCCTAGACCTTTTTGCAAGATTCTTACAGGAGAATGGCATAGTAGCCCAGTATTCTATACCAGGCGAACCTCAGCAGAATGGAGTATCTGAAAGACGCAATTGTACCCTAATAGATATGGTGCGCAGTATGATAAGTTACTCCACCTTACAGTTGAGCCTGTAGATAGAGGCATTAAAAACCGCCATTCATATTCTCAATAGAGTACCAAGTAAGTCGGTGCCTAAAACACCGTATGAGTTGTGGACAGGAAGAGTACCCTCACTAAACCACTTACGTGTGTGGGGAGCCCTGCTGAGGCTAAAGTATTTAACCCAAACATTGGGAAGCTAGATCCCAAAACAGTAAGTTGCCATTTCATTGGCTACCCAAAAAAGTCAAAAGGTTTTCGTTTCACTATCCAAAGAGACATACAAAGTTTGTGAAAACGAGACACACTGTCTTCCTAGAGGATGAATTGATGAGGGGGAGCATGGTAGCTCGAGAAATTGACCTTGAAGAGAAGTGGGTGTATGCGCCCACTTCAATGATCCATGAGCCAATTTTCTCACTACCTGCTATCGCTGCACCGATAGTGCAAGATACTGTGGTGTCAGCACCTGTTGTTATTCCGCCTGTGGCAACAATGAATGACCATGAGGAACCTGTTCTTTAGGATCTTATAGAACCTATTGCCACACATGAGGGAGAGCAACAACAGCCTCAAACAGAAGATGTGCCAAATATGGAGGTCCCTAGAAGGTCTCAAAGAGTTAGAAAATCAGCTATTTCTGCTGACAATGAAGTATACAACACTGAGGAATTTCAAATGGAGGATGATCCCACCTTATTTGAATAAGCCATGAAAAGTGATCATTCATCAAAGTGGCTTGAGGCCATGGAAGATGAAATGAAATCTATGAATGCCAATAAAGTTTGGGACTTGAAGATAATTCCTAAAGAAGCCAAAATAGTAGGCTGTAAATGGGTCTACAAAACAAAACTTGACTCCCAAGGGAATATAGAGAGATATAAAGTGCAACTTGTGGCAAAAGGTTTTACGCAAAGAGAAGGGATTGATTACAATGAGCTTTTTTCTCCAGTCTCATGTAAGGATTCCTTCAGAATCATAATGGCATTAGTGGCACATTACGATTTAGAATTACATCAGATGGATGTAAAGACGGCATTTCTCAACGGAGACTTGGAGGGAAATGTTTACATGGCACAACCGAAGGGTTTTGTCATGGAAGGAAAAGAACGAATGGGATGCCGCCTAAAGAAATCCATTTATGGATTAAAACAAGCTTCAAGACAGTGGTACTTGAAGTTTGATCAGACAATAAGGAATTTTGGGTTTTAAAGAGAATATAGAGGACAATTGTGTCTATGCAAAGTTTAAAAATGGGAAGTTTATCTTCCTTGTCCTGTATGTGGATGATATCTTACTTGCTAGTAGTGAAGTTAGTCTACTACTGGAGACAAAGAAGTTTTTGTCCTCAAAATTTGATATGAAAGATCTTGGTGAAGCTTCGTTCGTTCTAGGGATCGAGATTCACCGAGATAGAAGTAAAGGGGTATAAGGACTATCACAAAAGGCATACATACAAAAGATCTTAAAGAAATTCTGTATGCACAAATGTAGGATCTATAGGAAGATAAAGGAGGACTAGAGGGGGCTGAATAGGCCTGTAAAAATTCAACTCAAAACTCTGTTAGAACAGAGGGCGGCACTACCGGCCTTACAGGGTGGCACTACCGCTCTACGAAAAATAATCTAACATAGTTGAGATTTAACAGATATGAACCTGACCCCACTAGCTGCTTAATCCTGCAATATAAAGTAAAGATCCAGTTCGAAGACTGGATACCACAGAAACTTCACACAATAGTGAATCGAGCAACTAAACCCTAACAACAGCTGGAAGTAAGGTAAACAGCAAGTATAGTAAAGATGAAGCCCGCGAGACATAAGATTTATCCCATGGTTCAGCTCACCACTAAGGTTTGCCTAAGTCCACGTTGTTGAGGAAGCAACAAAAGGCTTGAGATTGTCACAAAGGCTTGCCTTACCCTCATTCTCAAATCAAGAGAGTGAACTCTTGAAGTGAGGGGTGATTTCTTAGCTTTTGAATGAGGTTACAAACCTCCCAAGGCTGCCACACAAGTTGGCAAGCACAAGGGCGACGCCTAGCCGGCTAGGAGCAAGCTCCAAGAGTAACAAACCCTAGAACCGCCGGCCAAACGTGAATCAAATGCTCTTAGACTTTGAGAATCAGTGGATCTTCTCTCCAATCGAGTTTTGCTACCTTTTCTCTCAAGTTTTGATGGCTGGAATCAAGGATTAGCTTGAGGGATGGAGGAGCAACAATGGAGGAGAGAGGTGAGCTTTGGTTCTGTCTTGTTTCGAGCTGAATGACTCAGTGGAGAAGATGACCATTGTGGGCCGGGCCTGAAGGGTATAAATATCCCCCGAGCCCAACGGTCAATTAAGGGCGACATTGCCGCTCTTAACAGGGCGGCACTGCCGCCCTAGCCAAAACAGGTAAGATGATATGAAATTTGGCTGGCTGTTTTGACTAGGTGAGAGGATGTAGATCTGTGAATTTGAGCATCTGGTTCAACAGTTGATCAACTGTCCTAAAATCCCTCTTAATAATATGGTTTTCCCTAAACTCAATTTCAAAACATAAAAGAATTTAAACCTCTTTTGAGCTAGGTCCAGCCACCTTTTGTAATTAGGACACCTGCCACCTGTTCATCATCCTCATTCTTCGATTCCCTACTTATCATCTCGATAAATCTCATTAGCCCTCTAATTTGGTGGTCATCAATACCAAAACCCACAATAGGGCTTGATTGCACTTACAACAAATGTAGTCCCTCACCTGCTCCCATAGTCAAGGGCGACAAATATGGGGATTTAAAATGCCCAAGGAACTAGTATGAGATCGATCAAATGGAAAATGGTTTCACATGCTTCAGTTGTCGGAAGCTTGCAATATGCTCAACTATGTATGCGCCCTGACTTGGCATTTGTTACCGGGTTACTTGGCAGATTCCAGAGCAATCCTAGAACAAAAGTAAAGAAAGACTTGTGTTATTTGCAAGGAACAAAGAGCCTCATGATGACGTATAGAAGATCTGATTCACTACATATAGTGAGACATTCAGATTCTGATTATGCGGGAGATGATAGAAAATCCACGTCTAGATATGTATTCATTCTCGCAAGGGGAGCTATTTCATGGAAAAGCTCAAAGCAAACCGTCACTACATCGTCCACAATGTACGACGGTTTGTAGCATGTTATGAGGCAACGGGGCAGGTGAACTGGTTAAAGAAGTACATACCCGGTTTAAAGGTGGTTGACGACATCTATAGACCACTTAAGTTATACTGCGATAATAATCCGGCAGTACAGTATGCTCACAATAATAAGTCAAGTGGTGCTGCCAAACACATTGACATAAAGTATTATTGTTGTGAAAGATAAAGTCCGGGATCATGTCATAAGTCTTGAGCATATAAGTATTGAAAAGATGCTCGTAGATCCGCTTACAAAAGGCTTACCACCCAACGTGTTCAGAGAACATGTAGCTAGCATGGGATTAAGGGAAAGCCTAAAATTTCTGGACAAAAGAAGGCCCAAAGTTAAGTATCTATTTCAGAACAAAGTGGTGTGTTGTAGCTGTTAAATCTATCGGCAATTGACCGTGACGATGAAACATGCTCTATGCGCTAATCTGTAATGGAATGAACAAAAGTAAATGATATGAAATTGAAAGATGGTAGTGAGATCAAGGGGGAGAATGTTAGTTGATCTCCACCAATAGGCCCAACGGACTATTGGGCCCTTGTCTCTGCGCCCTGATCGGGGGCGCCCAACCCTAATATGGTTGGTGGGCCCTTGTTGCACAGCACATATAAAAGAGAGGTGGGGATCACGGCTCTAACTACGAGGTTGAATGGAGCCGCCGGTGATCCACCAACAGAAAACCTAATCCGATCTACAGTAGTGCTGCCAGCGACGGGAAGCCCCACCGACTCCGTCGTCGCCACTGGACCTCGACTCCACTACGCTGGAACCACTGCACCGAGCTGCCGTGTCACCGTCGTCCAAGCCGCTGTGGCGCCATGGACCAAATGGTGACCTAGACCAAGGTACATCAACGGTTTTCCCATCTAAGAAAGAAGTCTACCCCCTGATCTACGTTACAGAGGTAAACAGTGATCCAACAGCCAATTCTTGTATCCAACAGTGCACCCTGACAATTTGTTTCCAACATGTTACATCTCAAATAAAAAGGTGATATCGAAGGTTGATGAAAAAATATCTTGCACTAAGCCAATCAATCTGTATTCTAGAATTGTAGTTTCACATCATGTATGCCCGGTAAAAATTAATCAATTACCAGGCAGAATAGCCACTAATTCTTCTTTTGCAAGTCGGCAGCAGAAGTTCATGTCATCTTTGATGTCTTGCAGGCAGGATAAATCCAGTTTAACCTGTAGCAAGCCAAGTAAACTCCACACCCATTAGGAACCCCTCATGGTGTATTGCAACATGGAAAAGTATATGTAGTTACTCACAGACCATTAAAAACATGGAACCCTCAGGTTTGCTCGGGTATGTGATCGCATTGATTCCTTTCAGCTTCTCCCAGGTTATATCTGCAGTTTCTCTTAAAATTTTGGTGGTTTTGTTTAAGAATTCATCCTTTGTGTTCTGCAGGAGGTTTGGAATTGCTCCCTGACAAACAAACAAACAAAAAACTGTGTTGAAGTGGAACCAAAGTAGCAAACCCTTGTATTTTTCTATGGACAATTTCAAGTCCTGGAAGAAAATGACAGTGCAGTTAGTGTCACCAGGACAAATGTTGGAGGATCAGTGGAGATATCAAGGTAGCTCTTGATGCTGTCAACTACCTGAAAGAAGAAAAAACAGGTGTAAGCATTTTGCATGGTAGTTTCACTTAATTCCTCAATCACAAGAATGGCTTTGCCAATTGCCAGTCATGTCAGCACCTCTGGCATTTAGCGAAATGAAATGCAAGACATTTCCACTACTGTTTATAACATAATCAATGGTGAAGCATGAGATGTGAAGAATTAACCTTAGTCTTCTGAAATACACCATTAGGATCATTGGTAACAATCCATCCAAGCCGCCATCCAGGCACGGCCCATCTCTTTGATATGGACCCCAGTGTGAACACTGGAGCCACTGCCCCAAACACACCCATTGGTACAAATTTCCTCTCTCCAAATGTCAAGTGTGCATATACCTCATCTGTTATAACAAATATGCCAAGCTTCCGTGCAGTCTCAGCAACCTAGAAAATCATGGACAGAAACTTGGCGTTCAGATTATTCGCCAAGAGCTCATCAACTATTGCAGAACCATGAACCATTAAAACTTGCCTTGGCTAGGTGCTCATAAGAGTACACATTGCCACAAGGGTTTCCTGAGTTGACAATGACCATGGCAACGGTGTTCTTGTTAGCATTAGCTTGGACGCTATCGATGTCAACCTCCCAGTCTTTTCCAGGTAGAAGATCAAAGTATCGGGCTTCCATGCCATTGAAGACAGCGCGCGCCTCATAGAACCCATAGCCAGGCCTTGGAAGCAATATGTTGGCACCAGGACGAGCTAACACAGAGCAGATTATCTCAATTGCTTGAGCGCAGCCACTTGTGAGGTAGACATCATCTGGTGATAATTCGTATGGCAAATCATGGGATAAGTGCTGCGCGATGGACCTGAAATTCAATTTGAATTTTAGGTTTTAGGCCATCTTGACTTAACTATGTTCAAAGTTGTGACGAAAGGAGGCATACAATTGAATCTGTAAACCATAGAATTTTTCAAAAAGAATCAGTGTCCAAGCTCCGAGATATCAAGAGGACTCAATGCCAATTGACTGCATCACTGAACTGAACACAAAGCACTAGACCACAGGTGCAGGATTCAGTCATGAAAAAAAATTCTCTTTCATGAAACATGAAAAAAATGACATGCTTAACACAATCTAGGGAAGGGAACCTTATAGTTGGAACATGAAGCATAAGGGAAAGAAAGATTTTCCTTGTAATATAAATACTGGTGGCTATAACAGTAATTTGACCAAGACAAGAGTAGTTTTCTTCAAAGCTTTGTATCAACTCCATGTATTGCTCTTGAGAAAGTAATAAAAACTTCCTTTATCAAAATGAAAAAAGAGTGGCAGATGAACTTCTCAAGTCTTAGGGTGATAAGAAGGTCAACCTGATATAAGGTTCAGTGTTTCCAAAAACAGAGCTTCCAAAAACAGAGCATAGACTTTGATAAATAGAACTCGCTATCAAAAGTACACCTCTGATTTATAAATCTTGGGAATTAACAACATGTTGATTTCAGATATAATGAGTTAATGGTGTACTATCCTTTTCTGATAGACAATCGTTTTCAACAAGATATTTTGAAAAGGGTAAAACATATTTTTCAACCTTCAAGTTGCACGTCAATCCAATTTTCAACCTCAAACTACCAAACCGGATAACCATCACCCTCCAAACGAAGAAACTGGACAAATTTAGTTTTCTTACTGGTGTTATTCTAGTTTCTTAAAATAATAAAATTCTAGTTTGATCACTAAAAAATAATAGGGAATTACTAGCGCCCGGACGTCCTGACGCTACACCAAGTATCAGACGATTCCGTCAGGTGACAGCACGCACGGCCCGCACGACCTTTTAGGTCCGCCCCACTGCCCCAGTAAATTATTATTATAGACGAGTACACACTGTCTCACATCACCCACTTGCATCAGCCTCATAGACCCATGGTCGCTCCTCGCGTCGTGCCGTCGTTTCTCGCACCGTTTCACACACCTATGCGGGGCCCATGCCGCCTTGAACGTCGGCAGCATCGAGAAGAGGGGGAGGGGCACGGCGGATGCCCAACCGGCGCAAGGAGGAGAGGAGACACCGAGGCAAGGCAACAGAAAGCGAGGAGGGAGATGCAACACCTGATCTACATTTGAAACATCCTCATACAACACTTGTAACATCCGTCTGAAGGCAGATGAAACACTTAAAATATGTATTCGAAACACTTGCAAAAAATACTTGAAAACACTTAAAAACCATTGTAAAACATACGTAATGTCCAAATAAAACACTTGCAACATCCAATAAACACATTTGCTACATACGTTTGAAAAAACGGATGAAACATTTGTAACAGATGCTTGCAACATACGTGTACAACCATTGCAACATCTCGATCCAGTTTTGCAACATCCGCATAAAACACTTGCAACATACCTCTGAAACAATTGAAACAAACACTTGTAACATGCGTTTTCAAGTGCAATATCTACTTCTGCTCGAACAAATGGAGGCTCGTCGATGCGGAGCTTGACGCTGCGAAGTGGCACAGTGGGGGGATGCCAGCGGGTGGGCGGCGGCACCGTGGCCCTGCGAGTGGCTGCGCGGCTCTCAGTGATAGGGTAGGCAGGTATGGTCCCCCGACACGCCCCTGCGGTAGACACGGCTCCTCGGTGCGGCCCGTGCTCTCCTGGGACAGGGTCCAGTGCATCACCGTGAAGCAAGCCGCCGTGATTAGCACCCACGCAGCCGCTGCCAGCCCCCTCCACCTCTTTGTCCTCGCCCAGCAAGATTTGCCCCCCATCCCTTCCTCTGCCTCCGCGCTCCCAAATCTATAGCCGCTCCTCTCTTTCTCCTCCTTCCCACGCCCAATGCCCACCATATGCTCGCCACCCACCCAGAACGAGACTAGAATCAAGTGGCACGGGAGAGTAGGAGACCAGAAGGAAGCCTGGAGGCCTGGAGAGGGAAGGACGGTCGGGGCGAGGCATGGTGCAGGAGCTTCTCAAAAGAGGCAAAGCTTTGACGAGTCCCTAGCGTGACAGCTGCCTTAAAATAATTACCCCTACAACTAGCTACTCGCAGGCAGGCGTATTGGGCTGGTCCAAAAGTCCACGTCCGGACGTATTGTGGAGAGCATTTTCGAAAATCATAACTAATTTGTTTCAAATAGGAAAAATATGAAACTGTTCTATTTTTTTCTATAAAAATGTTATCTACTCCGTATTTGTTGGTGCTCTATTTAGAGTTATTTTTTCTGACAGTGAGATTTTCAAAAGTTTTTTTTGTCTGATTTTGGTCAAAACGCCCGTGTGACAGGAGGCAGCACTGACAGTTGCTTAGTGAATCATGCCGCTCACAACGAATGAAAAACGGAATTTTTTATTGTGGAATGCCTGTGCCAGTCTACTACTCTACTCATCGTATTATTTCAACATCAAGTAGTTAGTTTTGCATATAAATGAATTTTTTTCTTATAGCAGATAAATAATATAACTTGTGCAAGGAAAGCGATAGTTGTTCAAAAAAAAAAAAAACTTTGCAGCCATGACGTCGACGTCACCTCCGTGCGGGCTCAAGGCCGACGCAGGTGTGGTAGCAGTTGTGCTCCCCGGACAGGAGCGCGCCGGCGACGCCGTCCACGGCCTCCGGCGCCGTGCGGACGCACGGAAACACCGACGGGTCAGCCTGGGCCATCCGGACCAGCGGCCGTGGGCCGGCGCCGCCGCTGTCGGCCACCATCCCAGCCATGACCCGGCCCAGCACGCCGCGCACCGAGAGCGCCGTCAGGCCCAGGAGTGTCTCGTTCGCCGCGAAGTTCCACGAGGCCGGGGCAGCCGCCACCGCCCTGGTGATTTCTGCGGCGCTGCGCGGGAGGCTTTGGCTCTGTTGGCGCCTTGGCAGCGGCCGGCGGTGGCAAGGGAGAGTCGCTCGTCGAATAGGGTGTTTCAGAGTGTGCGACAATGCTGGGTAGTGGGTACTTGTGTGAACTGTGCTGGCTTACTTATAGCACAGAAAGAGAAAACTCTGATGGAAGTGAGTAGGAAGGATCGGAGCTAGCAGTAGCTAAACTAAGAGCAACTCCAAGAGTCTCTTAATTTATATTCTTTCTAGTTAATAGAAATCGAGTTTTTGGTAAAAAAAAATACTCTCCAATAACTTCTTTAATTAAATCTTTAAATATTCTGGATTTCTTGCTAGTTAAATATGGAAAGTGAAGATGACTCTGTGGAGTACCCATAAGATATAAGATATAGAGAAGTTGTGAAAGGGTGAAATATAGAGACAACAATTCTTTTATTCGAATGAGTCCTCAAATAATGATTTAAAGAGTTAGTTTAAGAAATACCCTAAGAGCTTCAAAGTTCCATCAATAAAGCATTCTCTAGGTAATTATGACTTTCTCGAGTATATGGGAAATCTTAGGATTATATCTGAACTCACCCGTCCTAAACTTTTATTACAGATTACATTTTATTTTTTGACGTTTTCGTAATACAGTATGGATATATTAGTAATCAAAATTTTGTTTTGAGACCGCTTCGATATCCAACTAAAACAACATTTATTTGTGACTACTTATGCAGGAAAGTAGTTAGGGAATAGTTAGCAACATTTTCATGATAAAAAAATGTACTAAAAATTATAAAAGAAAGTTGAATGATTTTCTAAATCCTGAAACTGAAACGTGGTTCAATAATTCCGAAACCCGTCAGAAATGTGACTGTTTCTAAAGTCCAATTCATTTTAGAATCCAAAATGATGCGCTACTTATATTTTGTAATATATCAACAAACAAATAAATATGAAATTTTGCGATATACCATGACACACAATTTTATAAATTTCTAATGTATTCTTGTAACACTTTAACATGCTAACAGTAGACATACAGCATCTTAGACTGAAAACAAACCTTTTGCAATTGCTGCACCTCCCTGAAACATACTCTGCTTATCTTGCTACAGGCACCAACCACCAAACCTCCACGGTGTTTGTCACTTGTCAGCGATTACCTCACGGTCAAAAGGCAACATATTTGACAACATTAACAAACAAAGTGGACAGAATAATGGACGCCGCCGTTTCCATCAAAGCTTAAAACAGCAGATTTAACAATCCATATATTCTTGGTTGTTTGGAACTTGTGCAACATACAGTATGCAGCAATACATTATCTCAGTTGCCAACTACAAATTGAGCACATGTCATACTCAACAACAGGAAGCAACTGAATGCTAAACAATGCAAGTCATGCCAATTTGGAACCCTCCAAGAGAGAAAGAGAAACCAACCATGGCCACATGAAAGAATCCAAACAGTGGACGCTAATTTGAGTGGTTTGTCACAGGCGCCACATTTCTTGGCTTGGTGGCCAAGCTAGCAATGAGTTTTGGTGTGAAACGTCTCTCGCATTGCTGGCTGCTATGCAATAGCAAGGAAGCTGCCATGTGGGAATGCAAGTTTAACTTGTTTTCTTTTGATCATTAAGTTAACCTAAACTCCAATTCAATGAGCTAATTAAGATCTCATTGCATGGGAAATAGAATAGAAATGAACTACCTGACTACTGACCCAAACTACTACCCTTTAGCATCAGAACTTGCATCATCCCTACTTTCATGAGATTGTTCTCTTCTTGTTTTTTTCCATACTACACTTTATAGACAAAAATGGAGTACATTATGTCTAGAATAATAATACAGTTTACGTACCCGCAAGAACACCCAATTATACCTCATTTAAATTGCTATTATCAAGTGTTGATGTCGTTGTAAGATGGTGATTGTGGGTTAATGCACTATTTGTTACAATATGGAGATATTCTTGTGAGCAAGATTATAATGGCTACAAATAACAACATTTGTCCATTTTGTGCCAACTCATGTGTGGCGCTGGTGTACGTATGTTAATTTGCCACGGTTGTAATTTGAATTTCCATTTGTTTCCAAACTTTGTAACTTTTCATACATGAACCGAGACAAACTTTATATGAAAAATGTAGGTTTAAACAAGATCTTGAGGTTGTCCAAATGTTAAAAAAAAGAATCTAAATAAAGTGGATAAAATGACATGTCATGTGAGCACGACACAAGGTTTAGATTGGTGTCTTGCTTTTGTATGAAAATTTTAGGTTTAGATGTGTTTTTGTTTTTATTTTGTTCTAGTATGTCACACCCAATTTTAAGGACAAAATCAAATGTAGAATCCTATGTGTGCCCAATAATCAGTCACATACATAAGACGACAAATTACAACTGTATCAAGAGATAATGCTTTATTATATAACGAACAACGATATCACATAGAGACAAGATATTTGTAAGAGCAGCGGAAATTACTTAACATTCTAATCTTCAAGTGAAGCCTCCAAACACCACAGGGACAGTTGACTGGGGGTACATACGCCTAGCACTCCTCAAAAACTTTAATCAAGCTCCATCTTTTGTTATCCATCCGAGATTTTGTCCAAGTAATTGAAAAGTAAAGCAAGTGTAAGTACATGTCATACTCAACAAATATAACATGGCATTCATGAGGCTCAAAAGGTTGACACTGGTTTACTGCGATTAGCTTTTAGTGAGTCATAATTTTAGCAATTAAGTAGCAACAAGTTTAGTACAAGCCCATATAACCACATGATCATGTAAACAAGAATAATGTATAGCAATAAACAATAAGTATAAGTGATCATCTATTACATAAGGATCCCAAGGCCGCTCGTTTTCATGAGCATAGTTGTTATAAAAGTTTTACACTCTGCAGAGGTCATACATCTTTACCCATGAGCCATGATTTACCCTTTCGCCCGAGGTGATCAGCCTCTTAACCCACTTCCAACGAAGTTTGGCAGGGTTCACCATGAAGTCTTTCAAAGGTTCTAGTGGATGTAGGGATTAATAGACTTTTGTAAGTTTGCATAAAAGGTTGGCGTTTGTTAATGAGAACATGCTCATGAAACATATTTCAATCCCTAACAATGGTAATTAAAAGTACATGTAGCATGTGAAAAACATTATTAAATGATCGACATTATATAGTTCATCTCATCATCAAGTTCAATCATTCTCACTAAACTAAGTCTAGAAGAGAGAACAACCGAACAAAGTCTGTCCGAAGACTTTAGGCTTTCGAAAAGATCTCTGCAGAGGTGTACAACTATACCCACATGGACACCAAATATGAACCACCATACCCATGCCCGGATAAGGGTTGCCTAAAGGTTCTAACCATTCCTAAATGTAGCACTCACATCAACGAATGGTCTGAATGGGTACCGGTGAATGGGTACTGGTGTAATGATGCTTGCCTTTCATATACCAAGGCTTAAAAAGTATAAACGTAGTCTTTGCTATGCAACCTAGACAATTTACATAACCGGGTCAGCAATGTATTCATCACCTTCATTGTCGACATCGTAGGTGATACAAAGACGTACAACTCCTTTTGGAGTGGGGATGGCGTCTAGCCTATAGCTACTATATATACCTATGTTATACCTCGCTGCTTTGTAAGGATAATGTCAACTACCTCATCAAGGTCATTGGCTATGACCTTGCTAAAGCAGTTGACATTATCCTTACAGAGCGGCCATAACACAAGTATCCAGAGCAGCCATTGTTGTTCCGGCACCGAGGGTTCACTATGAAGTCTTTCAAAGGTTCAAGTGGATGTAGGGATTAATAGGCATTTGTAAGTTTGCATAAAGCATGGCGTTTGTTAATGAGAATATGCTGATGAATCATATTTCAATCCCTAACAATGGTTATTAAATGTACATGTAGCATGTGAGAACATTTTTAAGTCATCGACATTATATAGTTCATCTCATCATCAAGTTCAATCACTCTCACTACACTGAGTCTAGAAGAGAGAACAACCGAACAAGTCTATGCTAAGACTTTAGGCTTTCGAGAAGATCTTTGCAAAGGTGTACAACTGTACCCACATGGACACCAAAGCTGAACCACCATACCCATGCCCGGATAAGGGTTGCCTCAAGGTTCTGACCTTTCCTCAATGTTGCTCTCATATCAACGAACGGTTTGAATGGGTACTGGTGTAATGATGCTTGCCTTTCATATACCAAGGCATAAAAAAGTATAAATGTAGCCTTTGATATGCAACCTAGACAATATATAGAACCAGGTCAGCAATGTATTCATCACCTTCATTGTCGACATCGTAGGTGATACAAAGACGTATAGCTCCTTGGAGTGGGGATGGCATCTCGTCCGTAGCTATTGTATATACCTATGTTATGTCCGGCTGCTCTGTAAGGATAATGTCAACTGCTTCAGCAAGGTCATAGTTGATTCTCCAAATATAGAAATATAGAAACATAAGCAGCCACTGTTGTTCCGGCACCGCACTAGCCATGATCACGTACTATCCTTAGCTTTTCTCTTTTGAAACTATTATAATACCAATAAAAATCAATAGAGCAACATTGACATAATCAATAGAAACATAACATGTTGTTTGGAACTAATGCTATCAACTTTGGCAAGAATAAACTTGATACTGTGATAGACATCCTACATTCAAACTAAGCAGATGTCTTAATCGATTGCACCATATACCAAACGAGGAGCAAAAAGTCTACTAAAATGTTAAAAGGAGAATTTTTGAAAGCAACAACCAACAAAGAAATACATGATAGCCTCTGGAGAAGAAGAAGAACGTAGTAGCCTATGGTGATGATACGTCCTCTATGTATATGTGTGCATATTTATAACACTGACATTTGT